CAAAAAAAAAAAAAAAAAACAGTTGCTATCGAGTTGACTTACTCATGATGATCCTGTGTGCTGCAGAGTAGAACTGAGCTTCGTAAGGTTTTCAATGACTGTGACCTTTTGGAAAGGAGCCCTGGTGGCACAATGGTTAAATGCTCAGAGGTCAACTGAAAAGTAGGCGGCTCAAACCCACCAGCCGCCCCATGAAGAAAGATATGGCAGTCTGCTTCCTTAAAGTTTCTAACCCTGTGGGGCATTTCTCGACTTAACAGCAACAGGTTTGGTCTTTGATTTAGTTCTTTGGGAAAACAGGCTACCAGGTCTTTCTGCCAAGGCTCCTTTGGGTAGGTTCGAACCACCAAGCTTTCAGTTAGTAATGTAGCGTTTAATCATTTGTACCACCCAGGAACTCCTGGGAGAGGGGAGGGATGCACAAAATCTTTGCTTCTCTTACAGTACCTTTCACGTGGTGTGCCTTTCCACAGACACAGAGAAATGGAAACAAGAGTATTGAAAGTGCAAAGGGTCACATACAACCAACATTATGAGATCCAAAGATACCAGTTCATTTTCCGGATTTCCTTTACCCAAACAATAATTATGAACTATTTGTACCACTCACTAATTATTTCTCATGTTACACCTAGATTATTTTTGCAACAGGTTTATTTAAAAATTAATTCACATATCATCCAATTCCCCCTTTAAAGTGCCCAATCCAATCACTTTTAGTATATTCAGTATCACCATTGTGAACCTGAGAACTTTGCCATCACCCCCAAAGCAAACCTCAGGCTCCTTAGCAGTCCCCTCCCAATTTCCCCACAGTCCCTGGCAACTACTAATCTGCTTTCTGTCTCTATGGAGTTACCTGTCCTGGACATTTCATATAAATGGAACAGAACAACATTATATTATAATGTTTATAAGGAACTGGTCCAAGTGGAGCTAGGAAGCCAAGTGGTAGTGTGATCGCGTTTAGGGGACCTGTAGCACTTGCAGTGTGGCTGATCAGCTGACTGAAGAGCAGCAGCCTGCAGAATTCAAAGAGTTATTTCACTACATGACAAGGATGGGTATAACCACAAAGGAACTGGGATCCATAATGAGGTCTCGGGTGGAATCTCACAGAAGCAGGACTACAGGCCATGATTAATGGAGTAGCTGCTGCCAGTGATGGCACAGCTGACTTCCCCGAGTTTCTGACAATGACAAGAAAAGTGAAAGGCAAGACAGCGAAGAGGCAGTGAGAGAAGCATTCTGCTGTCTGACAAGGAGGCCAGACTCCAGTCGTGCAGCAGAGCTCCACCCATGACGACAAACCCTGGAGAGAGGTAGCAGGTGACGGGGCTGATGAGATCGTCAGGGAAGCCAACAGTGATGGTGATGGCCACGGAAGCTATGGAGAGTTGTACAAATGACAGCCAAGTAAGGACAGTGCACAGAAAATGTTAAGTTTCCTGTACAAAACTGTTGACTTACCTTTTCTCTGTTTGTAACTTATCTGTAAAAGCTTTCCCCCTACTGTCAAAAGAATATGCACATGTGGCAATCAGGACCTCATTCCTCCATGGTTTCTTCCCTTCCCTTATGGTCACTGCCCTGAACCCTTACTGTAGACAATTATCAAGGAACATGTTGCATGTGGCTTCCTCTGGATAGAGCTAAGCCCTTCTGCACATCTGAACTGAGATGGAGCTGGGCAGATGAGGGAACATCTGGGCTATGCCTTTTTTAAAGCAGTTTTCTGTAGGGACTGTCACATAGTGTTGTTGAAGGGTGGAGCTCTAACTGCATGGACTGTGGACAGTCAACCACATGTACTTAAACTTTCACTACTGTGAAACAGTTGTATGTTTCAGGCACTCATAAACTAATTTTTTGTACCACTCCTGTACCAGAAACATTTTCTTTTATTGTTACTTGCTTTTAAATTTTGTTTAGCCAAATATGCTTAGGGCACAGTTTGCCTCAAATCCATTCCACCTTGTGTATTTGTTTTACAAATTAAAAAAATACATTAAAAAAGAAAAAAAAAATAGTTTTATAGGTTCACCCATGTTGTAGCATGCATCAGAACTTCATTCCCTTATATGGTCAAATAATATTCTATTGCGTGGACAGACCAGGAGGCAAAAGGTTGGCCATTTGAATTCACTCAAGGGCTTTGGCAGAAAGGCCTGGTGATCTACTTCCAAAGATCAGCCACTGAAAACCCTATGGAGCACAGTTCTACTCTGACAGCTGGTGTCCCTGGGAGGCAGAATCAACCGGGGTTTTTTTGTGTGGACAGATCACATTCTGCTTTTCCATTCACCAGCTGTTGACTTGAATTGTTTCCACCTTTTGGCTATGTGAATGACACTGCAGTGAACATCCAGGAACACGTTTTTGTATGGATGTGTTTTCATTCCTCTTGAATAGATGCTTAGGAGTGAACTGCCACACAAGTTGGCGACAGGTTTGCCCTCCTTTGAGTGTGAGTACTCCAGGAAGATGTTCAGGGAGCCAGGGGCACTAGCTACAACCTTGACGCTGCCCAAGGAGGGCAGGGCAGCCCAAGGCCTAAGGGCTAGGCTCTGGGGACGCAGGCCTACATAAAGACACCCTAGTGGATAAAGGGGAGCTCTGGTAGCATAGTGGCTAAGACACTTGCCTGCTAACCAGATGGCTGGCGGTTCAAACCCACCAGCCACTCCTCGGAAGGAAGG